CTTACAATAGACTAGGATGAGACCGAGGCTGAGATCCCAGAGGAAATAAGGGACAAAGACGAACCATAAACATATGTTTTCAAAATCCTACAACCTTCTGCAGAAACCTCTTTATTTTTTTAATTAAGTATTGGTATGTATCTCTATATAACTTAATTTTTCCCCTTCTCCTACCCTTCCTTAAACCCTTCTTCCCCTCATTTACAAAAGTTTTAAGAAACCTCTTTCTATATTTTTTTCTTTTTTTGTCTTTTTGAGACAGGGTCTCCCTATGCAGTTCAAGCTGGCCTTGAGTTCACTTTGTAGCCAAGACTCACAGCAATTTTCCTGCCTCAGCCTCATGAGTGCTGGGATGACAGGAATGTGTCACCACGCCCAGCTAAGAAACTTTTCTTAAAAAATGAAACATTCGAGGGACCGGGGATATAGCTCAGTAGAATAAGCACTTGCCTGGCAAGCGCAGGATCCTGAGTTCAATCCCTGGTACCGCAAAAAAAAAAAAAAAAGCAAATATTCTCAAGTTAGCATTCAAATTGTGATATAAAATTTCTGAAGATGCTATGTCTTTGCTAGTCACGTAAGTCACATTCCTAATGTTTATTACTTCAAACAATAAAATTAAGCCAGGCATGGTGGCAGTGTAATCTCAGCCCCTCAGAAGCTAAGGGAGGAAGACTGCAAGTATGAAGCCAGCCTGCACTACATAGTGAGTTCAAGGCCAGTCTTGGACTCTACAGCAAGACCTCTGTCAAAAAACAAACAATAACTCTAGAGAGTTCTTTTTTTTTTTTTGCAGAACCGGGGATTGAACTCAGGTCCTTGCGCTTGCCAGGGAAGCGCTTATTCCACTGAGCCATCTCCCCAGCCCCGAGAGTTCTTAAAAATTTAGTTTTATTATCATATCCTGCCAATCAGGTCATTGATTCTTTTTGTTTTCCATGTCTTTTCTGGTATCAATATTTTCTTTTTTATTTCCACTGCACCAATTTTCTTCTGTTACCGTGAAAGTTGAAGCTGAGTGGATGGGGGATTCAATCCTAATAGCATCTTTAAACTGCGTGAGTTTGTCCCCTCTGTGCGACTCTGATCAGGCTCTGTGGCCCAACCCATGCCTGTTCTAAGGGTGACATTGCCTCGCATCCTGGGGGTGTTCCTCCACACCGAGTGCTTATGAGCTGTGCCTCTACAACAGTCTCTCACTTCCCCAGGGAAGTGAAGAGGATGAAGAATTGCTTGTTAAAGGAGAAATGTTTAACCTTGAAGCTACAGACCTCCAAGGAATACAGAAAGAAGAATTCAGAGCCCACGAATTTTTTTTTTTTTTTT